ATTTGATGAAAGGTCGGTAAGAAAAGTGACATCGGAACGGCGGCCCAAGCAATAGGCGCCTTTGGAAAGACGATAGCCATAACAGTAAAAAAAAAACTCGGGTGAAAAGAACTTGAGCACTATACGGGAGACGACAATAAAAGCAATCATGATGCGAATGGCATTAGGGGAAAATTGATTTATAGGTACATTGTACAAATTGCTTATTATGATCAACTCGTCTTCAATGGGAAAGCGGAGGCCGAAGACGACTTGATCTACAAAAAAGGTATGACAGCCGGGAGGGGGATGGGCAAAATCGTCATTAGGGCCGGGGGCGACCAACTCCCAGTCAGAAGGAAGCCCGCTAAATTTCCTGAAGCCCTCGACCTCGGCTGCAGAGGCATAACAAAAAGGATTTAAAACCGCTAACCTAGCTAAAGGACAAGCTATTGTTACAGTAGTTTGAGAATCGAGAAGAGGAGCAATTATTGGTACAGATACAGGGCTTGTTCTATAAACAGGGATGTCTAATAACCTAAGAGGAATACCTCGAGGGATAAGATCGAGACGAGGAGAATTCCCTCGAGAAGGGCTCTTCACGACGTCGACTAAGCCGCCCTCTAAAAGCGCTTGGTCATACTGTTCCCAGTCGACGGAGGAAGCAAAAACGCGAGGGGAGGAAGGATGAGAAGGCAATGAAATCATCTTATAGCCGGTCACCTCGACGGAGTCGGAACTGGAACCCTCGTCGACATGATGAATATAGTCGTTGATTTGTTGACCGAGAGAGCCAGAGAGGGAAGACGAGTCGGCAGCTAAGGAAAGAAAGAAAAAAGGGGAGAAGGTCGAAGTTAGTAAAGTCATGAGTTAAGGCCTACAAGAACGAATCAAGTCGACAAGCAAGAATCAACAGAAGATAAAGGGACAAAGAAGGAGCAGTGGCTACTGATAGCCCGACTTACTTAAATTATCAAGTCAATCCTAGTCGACTCGACTATCAAGTCAACCCTAGTCGACTCGACAGAGGAAAACTAAGGAAAGAAGACCACCAAGTCGACAAGAGCCGACTTAGTTACGAGAGAAAATCGACTGCATATCGGCAGCCGACGGCTAGAAAAAACAATAAATCTTAATAGAGTACACTCGAAAAGAGATCTAAGCCCGAAGCTCATGGAAAATTCATGAAGAATATGAAGAACATTCATTAACTCCGAAAGTTCTGGGAATTCAAAAAAAAATCAGAAAAGGAAAAAATCAATAGAGAATTGAAAGTTAAAAGGAGATAGAGAACTTACACATGATGGTGTGGTTGGTTTGAACTGCGAGTAAGCCTGAAGTTGCCGGAGAAAGAAGCGCCGGAAAGCAGAGAGCACAAAAGGCACTGGAGAGTTAGAAGCAGTTGGAAGTTCGGAGAATTTGAAAGCGTAAAAAACCATCTGAGGCAAACACGCAACATATTTATATGCAGAGACAACGGAGGCAGACCGTTGGATCAATATGGAACCAACGATCCAGATGAAGCGCGGAATGCGAGGAGTCGGCGATGGAGATGACGCGCGTCGCTTTAGGGTTTTTCAAAATTTGAAATTTGAAAAGGGTCTGACAGAATGTCAGACTTATCCGAAAGAGCAATCATGAGAAGTTTAGATGTTTCTAGATCAACTGTCGAGGACAAGTTGTCAAAGAAGACGAGGACGAACAAGCATCACAGGAAGACAACATCACCACACATCACCAAATTTACTCTTACGCAGTCGACTGCTTAGAGTAATTTTTGGGGGGGACTAGATGATATAGCCACACAAGGATAACCCCGGTCCAGAGGCTCCTTACTCGACCGGTAAACCATTCAAACAACTCGCATGACGACATAACTCTGTCGACATGTTCAAGTCGACCTCCATAAAGTTGATCTTACTAAGAGCAATCGAGAAGGGGCAGAAAATAGCCTAGTCGACTCTCGCAAGTCGACCCTAGTCTGTCGACTCTCACAAGCCGATATCAATGGAAGAAGAACATCAAGAGCGTAACTCCCAAGCATCCAGATAATCTAGGTCGACTTCCACTAGTCGACTTAGCGATGACGACTCTCTAAAGACGACTTCACCATAGAGGGTTAAACCAAGCGTAGCCTCCGAAACCGCTCATATTCATAAGTCGACCTCTTAGCTCTCGAGGTCGACTCTGTACATCTCGAGGATCAAAGTGGTGAGGACGATTCACCACACTTGTAACATATCCGAAGTCTTACACATTACAAAGGATAAGAAGGAATCTTGTGATGACTCAGCATCAAGGGGAGACAAATCGACCAGGGCATTTTGGACCTTCTAGGTCCACCGACTTGGGCATTTTGGGCACTTCAGGTAAGTATTCACTCCTATATAAAGGAGGTGAAGTAACCCCAAACCCTAACTCTCATTCATTCTCACTCTCCCCCATAGCTGCTGCGCAACCTCTCTTCATCACTCACATACTGACTTGAGCGTCGGAGGCTCTACGCCGGAAACACCTCCGACGTTGAGTTTTTGCAGGTATTCTCGCGGTCTAGCAATGGTTCGAAGGCGATTCAAACATATCTGAGCTCTTTATCATCGGTTCTCTTCAGATCTTGAAGTAGACCCATCAATATGATGTGTTGTTATAAATTATTTACGGTCACTATGTCCTGGTTCACCGGGTTGATGACGTCCCCGAAATGAGCTCAGGAAGGAATATTATGTCATGCCCTGAAGGCGGATGTGTATCTGACATAATGATTAATGATCTGAGTGGTACTAGTTTCGTAAATTGATAAAAAGTTGATTAATTATTTTGTCAATAATTTAATTAATCGAGGGACGTTATATCATAAACATAAGGAGATAAATCGATCAATTATATTATATTAATTTATCAATTAGAGACGAATTAATTATAATTCGGAGCTAAATGGAGAGAGCAATAATATTACTCTAGTAGAATGTTTTATTCTTTAATTCTACTTAGATATTAGGAATTAATTATATTCCATAACTAATATTCCAGTAGGAGAGAAATATTCCTTCTAGATTAATTACCCTAAGGTTAGGAGACTATGGAGTCTTCTATAAGGGTGATTGATGTTCGGAGGAATAAGACATCTAGATGGAAAAGGATATGGAGCATGATTAGGATTCCTAAGCCTACTGGGATAAGCCCATGTTTAGCACCTCCTTTGGGTCCCTATTGTAGCCTATAAATATACTAGGTCCCCTAGCCTCTTGGTCATGGTCACACATTAATTTCACCCCGAAGGGCTGGAATTTTCGGCTCAATTAATGTTAGAAAAATAGAGATTCTTCTTTGAGAGAAAATTCGGATAAAACCGAGAGGTCTTAGAAAAAGAAGATCGAGAGGCTTTGGGAAATCCAATAAATCGCTCCACCAAAATTCATTGGAGATAGTGTAAAGGTCATACAATAATTAAAATAAATATATAAGTTTCAACACATCTCACTTTAAACTAATCTATTTTAAAAATATAAAAGAAAATAGAAGAGAAACATCAATTGGATATATGAATTGTTTTTCCAACTCTTTTCATTCAGTCATAATTTATCTAGTTGAAACTAAGAAAATAACAAAATATTTTCAAAAAAAAAATATTATTTTTATTGTTTCACATTTTTCTCTACAAGTAAGACAATTAAAACGTAATAAGTTAATGTTATTTTATACTTTTTATAAACTATTATAAATTCACTAATCTGTGATTAAATCACATCAATATTTTTATCTTCTATTCAATAACAACTTCAAATCTATCTCAGTTTTTTTTTCAATTTTTTTCATCTTTATTTTCATATGAGATGACATTTTTTAAAAAATAAAATTATATAAAATCGCAGTTTTTTTTTTTATTTTATAACTTCATTTTAGAATTCAAATGGTTAGTTTCAAGGATAACTTAGGCCCCCACTAATGTAAGTTTCTAGATCCGCCCCTGGTGTCAATTCCCAATTTTCCTGGATGATAATTCTTTAAGTGTCGGTAACGTTCTGTACCCATCTACTTTTTTGAAATGGTACTTCTTCTTAGAGTTGACCGGATTGTAGTTGCAAACAGCAAAAAAGTGATTCTCGCCTTTTTTCTAGATTGGGCACCTTCGTGTAATGTCGTTCGAACATGTCAGATCTCGACATTTTCGATTGACTACCACGGTCGAAGAAGGAGGTCTGGTCCGCCTGCGCTTGCATCCCTTGCTGAGGCTCCAGAGTCCTTTGACCTCCTACTAGATCATCCAAATCGGCGTGATACGGCTGCTGCTGCCCTTGCTCGTACTCCTCGTGGATGGCCTCTTGCATTACGTCAATGGACTCAAATATGCGCTCGATCGTCGCTTCATCAATATCTTCGGGTACACCGGGAATATTCACATTTATCGTTGGCCTCACCATTTTTGGCAATGGAGGTCTCGAAGAAGATGCGCCGATACTTTTACACTTTTGTTCGGAGCCCGAGCCACGACCACTACAAGAGCTTGACATTTTATAATTTCTTGGGCTTTTTTTGTTTTTCTTTTTCGGACCTTTTTTTTCTGTCAGAAACCCGTCGGATTTCGGACCCGGCGGGTCGATCGGGTGTGGGCCTCTCAACGGTCCAATTGATCCAATGGTCGGGATAATCAAAGTGATCATTGGGGCCTAGCCCGAGCTGGACCGGGATTTTTTTGTGAAAAAAAAAATGACCGTTGCCAAGTTTTGGGCCCAACAGTCAGCCTGGCTTGGCCAAACCGCACGGATAATAAAAAAAAAGTGAACCGAGCCCATTTTCCAACTCGGGACCGAGCTGGTTCAGGTCAAAAAGGAGAAAAACAAAGACCCTTAGCAAGCTCTCAAGGGGTACAAATTCGGTTCAAAAACCGGTTGATTCGGGCTGATTCCGAGACGGTCCGGACCGGGTCAATGAGCCGGTGAGACCCTTGGCCATGTCTACCAATGATCGGTGAGACAACAGAGAAAAAGGAAAAGCACAAAAACAGTCCCTTTCTCATCACATCATCATCATCATCATCATCTCAATTTCATTCTTTGACAAAATCAAACACTAACAAAATTAGAGCCCACCCCCAAAAGCTCCTCTTTTTTCCGTCTTCTCTGTGCTTTCTAGCTACTGCCAAACCTTCCATTGAATATACGCTGAGCCACACACAGTTGTCTCTCCAGTTTGTATTTGTCTCAATTTGATTTCTCAATATGAACATTAATCCAACTGAATTCCTCAAAAGTTAGCATCTTTTACTTCAAGAAGTGGTTTTTTTAGTTGATTGAATTTGCCCACTTCAATTGTTGAGTTACTCCTTTTATCTGTTTATTTATTTTTCGGCTTTGTTTTCTTCTTTTAGTGGATTAATAGAGGAAAAAAAACAGAAGAATAATTGAAAACCTGAAGGAAAATGCAGACGGGGAGCTCAGGTGAATTGCGATCAGCGGCTGGATCAACTGATACAAGAGGAAAACACAGGATTTCTGCTGAATTGAAGAGACTCGAGCAAGAAACTCGATTCTTGGAGGTTTCGATTTTTTTTTTTTTCATGTTGTTTTTTGTTTGAATTTTAACCATTTTGACTTGTGTTGAATGATGGACGATTTCATTTGTCTGTTTCAATTATCTGGGATGTCGAATTTCGGTGCTCTTGTTGAGGTTGGGTTGTGAAAGCTGAAGTCTTTGGGTGTCTCTTGTCTGATTGGTGCATCTGCTGCATTTTGAGTGATGATAATTTGTGGACAGTTGAACTTTTGTCTTCTTGTTAATGTAATGCTGCGAAAAGTGAATTGTTTTGTTGGAATTTTGTGATTCCTTTTTCTTTTTGAAATAATTGAAAGAAAAAAAATGGTAACTTGAACTAGGATAGTTGATTGATACATATGCTAAGAGATTTTCGGGTGTTTTATTCTTCTTCTCGGCAAAAACAGTGTTCACAGTTGGGGGTTTATACTTGCACATAGTAAAACCTGACATACATTCGGAATACGTAATGAGGTAGGATATAATTTGAGTCCCAATAAATACGATGCTGTTGTTATTTTTAGGTAATTGGAATGACTTTTGCATTTGTTCTTCATCACCTGATGATTATATGAATGCAACTTATAAATAGCTATTAGGTCACCAGCAAGAGAACTTTGAGGCCGGCTGATTGTTCACTCTGATGTGATCCATTAGTTAGCTATAAATAAGTAAATGCTAGGAGTTAGATACTTCTTTGTCATATGTTGAACATAAATGCTGATGTAAAGTGGTTGAAACTTTTAATAGCTTTCAGAATTATTTCTGATTGGATAGATTTTGTGTTTTTGCTTTTATAAATGTGAATTGCATATTTTGTATATCAGTAGAGATTAGATTGCTTTACATAATGCACGATTTTGTTGAAGACTCACATGTTGCTGATGACGTTGATTATTTGAGAACTTTTTTATGATAATGTATCGTTTGGAAAAACATAAATAAAATAATTAATTCTCTCATAACATGTAACACGCACAATTTCTCTGTATTCTCTGTTCGTGGCACCTGTCAGCATAAGTATACTTTTGATAAAATTAAATGAGATATTAAATTTTTATGTCTATTACTGGAAATTCCATGTTGAACCTGTGTTTCCAAGGGATGCCATGAGTGTTGGCCAATAATGGTCTTTGCAATTATGACTTTGATATCACACACAATGTGTGGTATTTTGTGGAAATAAGCACTATTCGTACTCGGATATTTGGATGTGCAGGAAGAACTGGAAGAGCTCGAGAAAATGGATAAAGCATCTGTTGCTTGTAAGGAGTAAGTGAGATAAAAATTAAGAATGGTTTGCAACATACTTAAAAGAAATAATCGCCAATTATTGATTCAAGAGGAAATATTAGCTTGAAATGATCTCAAAGACATTTTTCGCTTTTGATTCTGCCTGACTTGATCAAAATGGAATTTAAATGTCTGGCCTTGCTTTCGACTGTCCTTTCACACAAATTAGATACATTTACCGCGCTCTTTTTCCTTTTTTTTTTTCTTTTTTTTTCTGCACGACTCAAATCTCCTAACATTCATGTGTTATTTTTTACAAGGATGCTGATTAATATTGAAACAAGACCAGATCCATTAGTCCCAGTGTAAGATGTTGAGCTCAATTTTCGCAAGACTGTGAAGCATTTTGAGTCGAGTCTACTAATTTGCAATCTGTTTATTACTTATGTTCTTCGTACAGAACAATTGGTCCGGTAAATCCAATATGGGACAGGTGGTTTGAAGGAGCACAAGATTCTTCTGGATGTCGTTGCTGGATACTATGATGTTTGAAGCCCGTTTTCACAAACGATACATTCAACGGCTGATTGATTCTTATCTTTGTTCGTCTCACAAAGGGATAACACGTATGGACACACGAGTTGGTTTTGTGAAAAAGCTTGCAAAGGCTCCATTCCAATTTACAGAAAATCTCAACTGCGGATCATTGGTATCGATATTGGGGAATTGAGACGGAATTCGGAAGAAAGAAATGTTGATGTAGTTTCTTGTGGACTTCAGTGGTAGCTTTTATAGGATGTTTACCATCTGTTTTTTTGCTTGAGATTTAAGAGTTATTTGAAGAATGAAATTTAGTAACAAATTAAAAACTTCTTGAGATTGAAGTGTCAATTGGTGACCAGGTTCTGAAACTATGTGTGTGACAAAGCTCAAAACATCAAATTATCGATAACTTCATCAACAAACACTAGTGTAATGAAGTATCAGAAACTCCTTCCCTCTTAAATGGAAACAACCAACATTAATAAAACTGAACAAAACATTATCAAACCTCACAAGGAATTGCACAATCAGATGATACATTACATAATCCATATTACTTGTAACACAAAACATCGGGACCAAAAATCCCAGTTGCATAAATCCCACCACAATCTGTAAATCAGATTTTAGCTCGTCGATTTTCCAGTAACTCTCTGTGCAATCCAGCCCAAACCATCATACAATCCTTCCCCTGTTAAGGCACAGCAAGCCTGAATGTGCCAGTCGTGATTCTTTATGCTGTGAAGAGAAAGAGCATCGGTTATCTCTGCAGGGGTCATAGCATCCTTAAGGTCCTGTTTGTTTGCAAAGACAAGTACAACTGCACTCTGTAGATCCTCATGCGGCAAAAGGCTGAAGAGCTCGTCTTTCATTATGGAGATTCTACTCCTATCTGTGCTGTCTATCACGATAATTACAGCATGTGTGCCTCGATAGTAAGTAGCCCATGATGTTCTTAGCCTGTCTTGTCCTCCAAGATCCCACACCTGATCACGAGCACAATAAATAAATACATACATAGTTTCAGATCAAATGGGAATTGGACTTGGACAAGTAAAGTCAGACTTGGAGAAGTAAAGTCGATCTACATTTAATACTCCTCAAGTATATATAGAAACGAAAATAAGTAAAATTGGTTGTTTTACACTCTATCGGTTGTTTTAAATTTATTTCGGCAAGTACCATTAGCAATATAAAAAAAAATGTACTACAGTCAGTTAGGTTGTTGCATTCAATAGTAGGTGCTCGACAAAACCATGATTTGTGGGGGATAAGGCAACTCAACCAACAAACTCTATAATAATCACGAAAGACAATTTCGCATTACTGGTCCTCCTATTGATTTTCAAAGTGTGATTAAAAGTTGTCTATGATGTAAACAACCCTGATAGAGATGCCCCAGGTGTGAACACTTATAAGGAATTGCTGGCAAGGATTTGAGAATCCATATTTTTCCTTCATGAACAATAAGTGTGTGTGCAAATAATTCATCAACCCCAATATCCAATGTGCTGGGAAAGAGAAATGAAAAATGTTTCCACCTAAGTTTCCAAAACAAAATATCACAGAAGGTCAGTGATTTTAACTAAAAGATTTCCTAGTCAAGACTCAAGAAACTGGTTTCAGAAAGACAAAAATGTGAATCTTGTAGAAAAATATTCAGAAACATGTATCACAAAAGACAGAAAAACTTCTCAGTCCAATTCCTGTTTCCTTATGCCAGATAAATTCTTTGAGACCAATTTACAACCATTAATCAAACTACCTTATATTCAATTATACAAAATTCCAAACTTGAGGTCAATTTGGTGAGCATAACGGTGTCTAATACAATGATTTCCAAATCAATTTTACTTAGACAAATACCACCAGAAGCAGCAACGCAACCACTACTACTTAATCTAAAACATGTCCATGTTATGTAAATTTTAAAATCCAGAAGTCTAGACGAGTTCAATCCAGAGCCATGATGCTCATATATATCATTTTTGCCTAATTCAGATGCAGAATTGACTTCTCTGGTCCAAAACTTCAATCTTTTGTTTAAACATGGCAAGCAATGTCTAATAGTCCAATTGTCCACTTCAGTGCAAATCCGTAAGATTCATAAAAAGACAGAAAATCCAGAATTTCGCATATACTGAACCATAGTTTCATGATCCCTTCACAACACATCAACCTACCAACATATTGCTCGTAAATTTGATCTTGGATTCAAAGGAAAAATAAAACCTCAAAACGATGCAGTTGATAGAACATACATAAGCCAGAGTATCCTTAGAACCATTTCCTTCAAGTTCTCTTCAAAAACAGAAATAGTAAAATCATTTCTTTAGGTTTCTCACCACTAAAATCCCCAGCCTAAATGTAATAGAGATCAAAGCACGCTTGCATTCAAACTCAAACGCTCCAAATCGCTAACCACAACAAGATTAACAAAAACGGGGAAACCAACTGCAAATATTGCGTCAAATCATAAAATTTGGATCTTGGATTCAAAGGAAAAATATAACCTGAAAAGGATGCAATTGATAAAACATACACAAGCCATTTCCTTCAAGTTCTCTTCAAAAACAGAATCAATAAAATCATTTCTTAGGCTTTCACCACTAAAATCCCAACCCCAATGAAACGGGAGATCAAACCATAATCAATAATCATACCAAGATTAACAAAAGAAAAGGGCAATCAGGTCCATATACTGCGTCGAATCATAAAAAAGGCACAGAAAGAACCAATTACCTCAAATCGAATATTCTTGTAGACAAGCTCCTCAACGTTGCTGCCGACGGTTGGGTGTGTGGTGACAACCTCCCCCAAGTGGAGCTTGTAAAGCGTCGTCGTTTTGCCTGCGTTGTCAAGGCCAACCACAACGATCTTGTACTCCTTCGCCGGGAATAGCATGAACCACATCTTCGACATAAGAGCACCCATCGATTTTTCTTTTTGCTCCTGCAATTGAAAAAAGAATTCCACGATCAAGATCTAAAACAGATTATTATGCACAAGGGACTAGCAAATGAAACAAAAAACACAGGAAAACTGACTTTCTTTATCTGAATCAATAATAGTGAGTCGTTTATGGTGATGGAGAGAAAACTGATTTCCTGGGGAAAGAATGAATATTATGGGTTTTAGTGATTTTGCTTTTGGATGTTGGATTTTCCAAAGGGAATCAAGGGATTGATGTGAAGGGAAATGGGTTGGTTGAGGAGGATTTTTTTTTTTTATTATTATTAATATTTGTTTACGTTTCCAAATGGCTTAAAAATAAAAATTTTCAAGACCAGTGTCTTTGTAAAAATAAATATAAAAATATATTTATCTATCTATTTATATTGTTCCAAATGTGGTTTTGTACATAAATCAACTACTTAAAATATCTCTTACTTTGACATATTTTTAAGGCCTAATTGCCGGTAATATCACGACCTTACAACTTTTTGTTGTTTTAACCAAACTTTTGGAATTTAACAAACATAACATAACCTTGTCTATTTTTTGGCAATTCGAATCATCGGGCCCAATTTTGGGCTTTGTCTCCAAATGTGGCTGATGACATGACAGTTTTTGCTGACGTGGCGACTGTGGCTGATGACATGGTGATAAATAATATAAGCGAAGCTGGGGTTCGAACTTGGGACATCAGTGTTGTATGATAATATCACGACCTTACAACTACTTAAAATATCTCTTACTTTGACATATTTTTAAGGCCTAATTGTCGGTAATATCACGACCTTACAACTTTTTGTCGTTTTAACCAAACTTTTAGAATTTAGCAAACATAACATAACCTTGTCTATTTTTTGGCAATTCGAATAATCAGGCCCATGTCTCCAAATGTGGTTGATGACATGACGATAACATAACCTTGTCTATTTTTGGCAATTCGAATAATCGGGCTCATGTCTCCAAATGTGGTTGATGACATGACGGTTTTTGCTGACGTGGCGACCTTATTGCTGATGACATGGCGATAAAAAATATAAGCAAATCTGGGGTTCGAGCTTGGAACATCAGATAGCATTGCAACCATCACACCAACTCAAGTTGTATGTTAAATTTAATAGTGTTTAATATATATAGACAGTAAGCATGAATAAATCAAATTAAATTTAAAAGATAATGTAAATTATATTAAATAATATTAATAAGATATAAACATATAATAATTAAAAATATAATAATATAAATTATATTATATTAAATGAAGAAAGAAACTAAAATAAAGTAAGATAAAATTATTATAGTAGAGTGAATTTAAATTAAATTAAATTAAATTAAAAAATTATATATTTCTTAATTATTAAGTTTTAAATTAATTTGATTATTTTTACGTGTTGTCTATATATATTAAGCGCTTTTAATTTTAACATACAACTTGGATTAGTGTGGTGGTTACAATCCTATTATACAACTTTGAGGTCTCAAGTTCGAACCCCAGTGTTGCCTAATTTTCTTACCGCCACGTCAGCAGGGCACATCAGCAGGAATCGCCACATCATCAGCCACGTCACCAGATAAAAACATAAATATAGGGTTAATTGCCACGTCGCCATAAAATCACCATGTCATTAGCCACATCAGCAGAAATCGTCATATCATCAGCCACATTTGGAGACAAAGCCCGAAATTGGGTCCGATGATTTGAATTGCCCAAAAATAGACAAGATTATGTTATGTTTGCTAAATTCCAAAAGTTTGGTTAAAATGGCAAAAAGTTGTAAGGTCGTTATATTACCAGCAATTAGGTCTATTTTTAATGGCAGATTAGAAATACACTAATATCCATCATATCTTATACTTTTAATTAAAAAGTAAATTACTTAAAAAAGTCTTACTTTGACATATTTTTAATAACAAATTAATAATACACTAATACACGTCATATCATACATTTTAATTATAATTCGTTTTTAATTAATTAAATACAAATACATGAACAAAATATTTCACATCAACTAAAAATCAACCACAATTTTCTCGTGTAATTATCCTCACGAATTTACTTATTTCACATATCTCCCAAATTGATTTTTTTCATATCTCCCAAAAACCAACCCAACACCCAAACAACAAAGCTTTGAAAGGATACATAGTTGTTGTTTTGAAAAATGTTCTTATTTTTAATATAATTTTAATGGTAAAATCATAATCACATTTCATATTCTAATCTATAAAAGTTCTTTAAAGGAAATTGATCAAACAAAAACAACATAATAAATACTTATAAAGATCAAAATATTTTCAATTATTTATTTACTTATCTACAATTTTCACAAAACGTTAAAGCTAGGTAACAAATAACCACTTGTAACTTGTATATAATAAATAATTTCAAATATACATACTTAACTTTAATTAAAAGAAGATGCCTAAAATTTTACTGAAATCACGCATGCGTGAAATATATATACATAATTTAACAAACTAAAAAATTGGAACAATTCATTTAACTATTTCATTATTTAAGAACAATAAACTCTCGTATTTAACATTAGAATAAAAATTGCACCTTAGTCTTATTTGCTTGAATTTTGAACCCACAAAAAAATGTAATTTGTTTNCCATTAGTTGAGGAACATATTAAAAAACAATATAAAGTAAAAAGATATTAAAGCTGATAAAAATATTAAAAATACAATAAAGTTTTTATACTTCCTGAAAATATGAAAAAATAAAGTAATATATAAAATGTAATAATTAATAAAAGCAAATATGAAACTTTTTAGTTCAGCTCGGTCTTGCTGCTTTGGAAGGGCTTACTTTTCGTGATGTTGTTCTATTTTATATTATGTCTGTTTGTCTTGTTTGTGTCTGTTTTGTTCATGTCTTGTGTTTTTGGTTTGGGCCGTTGGCCCCTGTGAGCCCGGGTGTCAATCTTATTACTCCGTTGGGGTCCGACACTCGGGTATTACCCTGTTGGGGTCCTTGTAGTTGTTATAGTTGTTTGTGTTGTTGGTTAGTTTAGTGGTGAGTGTGTTTTTTATTCTAGCGTTGCTAGTCGGGATTCTAGGCGGGCTTCTGACCTGTCCTCCCACTTTTTCAGCTGTTGGCTGCTGTGTATTCAGCCGTTGGCTGCTGTGTATTCGCACATTTGTGCATTTTGATTTATAAAACTATCTATCGTTTCGGAAAAAAAAAAATCTTGTACTTATCGATGTAAACGAGACAAATTATTCAACGCTTGTTAATTTTTTGTGCTTATTAGTTCTATGTGTAAGTTTTAGGTGATAGACAATGATTATTTGTACTTTTATCCATATAGGTTAGAAATTTTGAAATTAAAAAATATTTTATACTAATTTTCAATAAACTTTTATTTTCTATTAGTTTTTTTAATATAATATATAAATATCATATTACATATATAAAAATGATTATTTTATTATTTAATATTTAGTATGTAAGAAATGTAACTTAATTGAAAATTTAATAGGCGATCTTGAGATAAAATAATGAGTTATTTCTAAAAAAAATTATATGGACTAAAAAGTTCATGTGTTTAATATATTTTTATTAGATGAACTGTAAGCATAATTAATTGATAACAAAAATTACTACACGATTTTGGCGCATCACCGTATGAATTTTTTTTTTTTACAAACCACCATCTAAACTACACGGGCATGTCAAATTGCCCCCTAAACCAGAAATAAAAGTAGTTTTGATTAGAAAAAGCTGATTATTGAGGTTATTTTCGTAATTTCATATATTTTTCAAAAAAAATAAAAAATGAAAAATGAAGGAAAAAATGGGACTACCCCATACCCCATCGCCATCGCCCTCCGTAAGAACGAAACCCTAATCCCCAATTTGAATTCGCACTCCCCCAACAAATTTCTCCCCGTCTGTTGCAACAAAGCTCCGGCCATGCGTGGATTCCGATTGCTCCGCCTCCGCAAAACCATCCACACCTCCTCCGTCCAAAGCCCTAACCCCATCCCCTTCGCCACCTGCTGCAAATCCTGCAACTGCCCCCAGCAGCCGAGGAATCTCCACTCCACACCTCAACGCCGGTTCCCCTCCTCCGCCGCCACGGACAATGAAACCGCCGCGCTCACCTGGTCGGAAAAAATTTCAAATTGAAGGAAAAAAATTGAAGGAAAAAATTTCCTCTTCGCCCTAGCACGGCGACCAGAATTCATCGGCGATTACATCTCGGCGAGTTCGAGCTCATGTCCGACCACCGGCGACCACGGCCATGTCTAACCCGACCCTCACAGTGGCCGGTTTCTTTTCAATTTCTCTTCGACGGTAATGTCGAGCAGCCCCGTTTTAAAGAAATCCCCGTCGGCTCCTTTTCATCGACTGAGACGGCCATTCCAATGAATTTCGCCGTCGAATTTGAGCAGCCATCTCCCCATCGGCTTCTTTCCGAGCAGCAGCAACCCCGTCTTGTAGCGAGCAGCCGACGGACTCCGAACAAATAGCAACAGCCCTCGTCGGCCCGTTTGTTTCCCAGCAGCCTCTTTTTCTTTTTTATTTTTGTTTTTTTATTTTTTTTGAAACAAAATTCTTTAATTCTATCATTTTCTTTTTTTTTTTAGAAAAATTTATGAAATTACTGAAAATACCTTTAAAAACAACTTTTTTTAGTCAAAACTACTTTTAAATCCGGTTTAGGGGGTAATTTGACAAGCCCGTGTAGTTTAGATGGTGGTTTGTAAAAAAAAAAAGTTCATATGGTGATGCGCCAAAATCGTGATAGTTCAGATGGGAAAAAGTTATTAACCCTAGAAAATTTAATGTTTAAGAAGGAATACAAAAAAAGTTGACATATTGAAATGAAAAATACAACGGTTAGAAATCCCACTGAAAATTGCAACGAGTATTTCATTGTATAGCTTTCATTGAAAATTTTCATTCGCTATTCCAACAGAGATTAAATTAAGTTACGTTGAACTTTTAGTGGATTTAATGATTCCACTTACCATTATTTATGTTGAGTGAATTTCAGTTGGATTTTTTCTCGGACC